GATTCCGTTGGCCGTCTTGGCAACAAGGGCACATTGCTGGTGGACGACAATCTGACCATGAGCCAGGACTCCCAGGTCCCTCTGGGCAGAGCTGCTTTCCAGCAGGTCATCCCCCAGCCTGTACTGGTGCATGGGGTTTGACCTCCCCAGGTGCAGCACTCGGCACTTGCCCTTGTTGTATCTTTTTCCCGTTTGTTACAGTTTGGGAAGCTTGTCAATACTCTGTCTAGATAAAGTACCTGTTCAGTTTGAAGTAATATGACTAAGCCATTTGATTGGTGTGCCTGGGAGCCTGCAAAAAATGAAATCCAGAGAGGTGGCAAGTAGTTTACAAGTGTTAGTCTGTAATATATTATTTTCTTCCCCTGCCTCTTTTTTTTTTTTTTTTTTTTTTTTTTTTTAAATCATTGTCATTACTGCTGGGAGGTGCGGTAGTACCACTGTAGTACAAGCCTGTCCAAAGCTAGTGTTAAATTGAGCTGGATTCTGGACCTTCTCGTTCTTGCACAAGCCAAGTGGCCAGCGTGCTCATTCTCTGACTGGCCATGGGGACATGAGTCGGGCAGAACCAGGTACAGGCCCGAGTGCTGGAGGGAGGAGACTGAAATACCCGCAGTGCTGAACACAAATGAGCTGAAGAGGGAGAGGAAGAGAGGTGAGACTGGGGCTCAGGTTTTTAAAACCTCACTCAGGTTTTAACCTCTGATTCTACTCTTATCTGCAGAACTGCTGGCACAGTATGAACCCGCGTTTATGCGACAGCGACAGCCTATATACCTCCTAGTTGGTTCTGTGGAAAGTACGTGGGGTTGGCAGAGCCTGAAAAAGTGTGGGGGTGGGGATGTGGTTGGGAGAGAACTCCAAAAAGGCAGCGGGAGCACTCAGGCTTCCTACAGGAAACTGCTTTGATCAGATGAGCTAAACTATGCTGAGAAGGCCTGGGTTGGAGGCTGGTTCTGTTCAGGCTTTGCAAGCGCTTTACGGTAGCGTGCCGCTGGACTAGGTCATCTGTGCTTTCCAACATCCACAGCTGAGGGTGAAACGGGATACAAAAGCAGCAGGGATTTTTCAGCTGTGGTGTTTTTTTTTCTTTGGTGTGTAAGTGGTATGTTCTGACAAATAAGCTGTTCTGTTTCTGAGAGGAAGGAAAGGAAGGGTGGTGCTTGACTAGAGAGAGGCCTAACACAGTTAGGGTCAGCTTTAACTTCTGTATTAACTTATGAATATGCTGAAGACTGTTCCCTTAAAATACAGACAAATGGTCCAGCAGGTTTTCCCTGAGAAACCTGGGTGGAGTTGGAATTGGATTCAAGGTGTTAATGAAGGGAAGAACTAGAGAAAGTAAACTTCCAAAGCAGGGCTGGAGCAAGCCGTGGAAAAGAAGAAATTCTCCTTTACTCAGTCAACTCCATCTGCTTTTAGGACATAAAATCAAGTCAGTCTTGGAGTAAACAATATTTTGAAAATAAACCACAAAGGAACAAACTCTTTTTTTTCCACAATCAAACCTGTAAAGCTCAAGTGAACCCAAAAGTTGTGTATTTATTTGATTGGGGTGTTTTCTTCCTAGAGTTGCCCAGTTCTACGACTACAAAAGGGGAAAAAAATCAGATTATTGTGTGTCTTCTGGACAATACAGAGCTAGTAGAGTTATAATCATTGGGAATTTAAAGAAGACTTTAATATTCTCCAAAACCCTTTAAACTTTCAATCTATGCTTTTGTATAACATACCTTGAGAGCTCCAGCACCTAAGTTCTTCAGCAAAAGAAGTGTGGTTTGACCCTAGTGTGGGAGAAACCTACCAAAAATACCCTGAAAGACGTTACTGTGCGTTCTTCCCCGTTGTCTGCAAGCCACCTGTAATTCTGCTCTTTGGCAAATTCTGTGACCGGCTCCTTCTGTTTCCCATCTCAGCAAAAGGCAGATAAGGGAGAGGTCGAGTCAGGCTCTGCCTGGCTCCAGTTCTCCTGCCTGATTCTTGTGGTGCAGCCAGGAAACTCTTCCAGGCGGCTGCAAGCGTTGAGCTGTCTGTGCTGCAGGAACTGTGCCTGAAGAGCGCAACGACGTTGGAAGGTTGCTGTTTCCTTCAGCTGTTGCACAGAGCATCTCTCTGAAGAGATTAATCTTTCATTCCTTCATAAAAAAAAGACAAGCTGGAGAGAAGAGGTACTTGGAAGTCTTTGTCTTTCGCCACCAACTTCCAGAGACTTAGAAACTGGCTAAATGATTGGCTTGGACTACAGCTGCCTAATTTTTCGGCAGAGATTTTGTGCAGTCAGCAAGAAAGTCTGTAGCACAGCTGGAAGTGAAGTGGAAAGCAGATTCCTGCTTCTTAAGTCAGTGGCTCAGTTAGAAGGGTCTCTCCTCGGAGATTAAGGTCCTGTTTGCTGAGGGTTTACTCCATCTGGCGGTGACTGAAGAAAAAACTGTTACCACAATGTCATTTTAAATTGGGTTCTTCTTGGTGCTTCTAGTCTTAAGCCAAAGAATTTCATGCAAATGTGGACTGAATTTGCCCTTCCGAGTGTACGCAGGAGTGCATGTTTTCTTTGGTGTGTTTCACGCTCTCCTGGGTTTTCTTAACTGCTGATTATGTTGGGGAGCTCTGGTTCCATGGACGAAAGTCAAGAAATGCACTTCCTGAGTGCTGCAGGGAAGGCTTCAGGCTCAGCTGCGAATGCTCAGCTGTCAGCATAGGCATCACACTTTTTCCGTGTGCCAGAAAAATCTTTGGTTCGTTTCATTATCATAACTCTTTTTAAAAACAAACTAAACCAGAAACCAAACCTCTGCATAATCAGAGCTTTGACTGCTTTTCGTGGATTTTGCATCTTTTCCAGCACAACCCAGTAGCAGTGTATGCACTGGTTGCTTCTTGTGTTTTTTTAGTTTGCCTCTGGGTGGGGTGCTGAGGTGAGGGCAGACCCAGAAACAAATAAGGCTCTCTTGAAAAGAAGCTTTGGGCAATTCTGGCTACCAAAAATTTGCAAACCTTGCTTCTGAATTCCAGATTGGTGGAAAAGGTGAATTGGATAGCTCTAGGTAGGCTTCTACTTTGAACAATAGTGAGCAGGCTTTTGTCTTCCTTCTCATCACAAAGCACTAATAAAGCCAGGGGAAAACCTTGGGGAACAAAAGTTGTGTGAGGTAGAAAGAAAAACCACTTATGCTGGAGAAGCGCAGCTTGGCAGTTCGAATAAACAACCCCTAGAAATAAACGAGTTCGTACTTTCATGGTGGTTTTGAAAGACACCTCTCTGATACAATTTGAGGGGGGATGGAGTCTTCCTTCTGCAAGTTGCTGTTCTGGGATCTCTATCACAGCAGGTTGGAAAGAAGAG